GGCTCTGGCTGCGCGCTGACCCTGCCGGCCTGCATGGGTCACAGCCCCCGCGCCGCTGCCTGGCGCTGCTGCATCTCCTGCAGCTGGGTTACCTGTACAGGTGAGTGCTTCGCCCCGGGAGGGGAGGAGTGTTGGAGCTCAGCACCTGCGTCAGCTGGTCACCTGTACAGGTGACACGTCATATGCCTGGAAGGGGACTGGGAGAGGGAACCAAGTCCTGTGGGCGCCTGGCCTACAGGTGAGCGTGCAGCCCTTTATGGAAAGGGAATCCAGGTAGACTGCCTTCATCCTAGCCCTAGCTTTCCTGGCACAGGCGAAGAAACTGAGGCCCAGGGAAGAAAGGGAGGTGCATGGGCTTTGAAGTCAGACCTCTCAGGGATCCACTTCTGGCTTTGCCCTCTCTCACCTCACTTCTGCATTTCTCTGAGCCTCAGTTTCCTCCTCCATAGAAAGGCGGTAGTCACCCTGAGACAGGTGTGACGGGCAGGCCTATTGTGAGGAGTGAGCGAAAGAGTGAGAAAGTGCCTCGCACAGTGCCTGGCCTGTAATGGCAGGGGCTGCGGACTCAGTTCAGCACCCCATGTTTCAGCACGGGCAGGGCCTTGGGAAGGCACTGACCTCTCAGTGGGGCTGTTTGGTTGCTGTTCCCGTTGGGATGGGATAGTGCCTGCCTGTTTGGTGAAGATGAAGTGAAATGACAACTGTCCACTGCCCTGGCTCAGAGTGAGCACTCAGCAACCTCAGCTCGCTTCGTGATGACCTGGGCCTCCCTGCGAGTTTCAGCAGCCCTGACCCCACGACAGCGCTTGTCCCTCACAGAGGCCGCCTCTCACCCTGTCTGCCTGGTTATATTCTTCCCCCTGAACCTTGGCTTCCCACCCCAGACCCAGCAAGAGGGCAGAGATGGCCTCTGACTCATCCACGCCCGTGGAGCCAACCAGGGTTGGGCACAGGCTGGGTCTTGGAAAATGTGTGTGGATTCTGCTCCTGTTTGGACCTGGTGGAGCCTCGTAGAGATGGGGAAACAAACCCAGGGGTCGAAGGCATGCGATGAAGTCAGGGCAGAGGGTGGTGTGGGTTGGGAGGGGGTGGCCAGGGCCAGGATCCGCTCTTGAATCCGTTTTTACAAACTCTTGAGATCTTGCTTTGACAAAGTTGCACGGGGTCTCCAGGAGTGGAGGAGAGGAGCTTTGAATGTGGCAGTTTTGCCTGAGGGATTGTAGAGATATCAGAAAACCCTGGGTGAGCATGAAGGGGTGCAGTTGTTAAGTCCTGGGCAGGCCTCCACGAGCTGTGCATCTTCGCTGCCTGTATTTCTGCTGAGCTTCAGTCAGGCAGACTGGACTGGCTTTGGCTTTGGAAACGGGGTCTCTGTTCCTGCATGTGAATAGGCCGAGGCCGGGGCCTCTGCCAGGTCACTGGGGGACCACAGGCAAAGGCTCCCGCTGAGGGAGAAGCCCGGTCCGCCCTGCCTGCCTGCTCCTCAGTGTGTTCCTGGGCCCTTCCAGGGGAAGTGACAGTACATGGCTGGTGAATGAGCTTGTAATGAGTGAACGGGGTTCCCTCCCAATAGGCAACTGAGAGCAGAGTTCTGGGTGGAGGGTCCTTGGTGCATCCTCCACTTACTCTTCATGCTAGTCAGTACCCCAGGCCTGTCTGTCCAACCTCTGGACTCTCTTAACTCTGCCTCAATCTCCATCCTTAACCACTCAGGGCCAGCCTCTTAAATGGGATCCCTCCTTCCAATCTAACCCTCCTCCAGCCCCTCCCCTGTGTGGCTGGGGCAAGGCAGAGTCTGATTCCAACTGGCCTGTGCCCAGAAGTGCCCAAGAGGCAAATGTCATCTTGCCCACAGGATCCCAGGAGATCTTGGGCACGCTAAAGTTTGAGAACTACTGCCTCAGGCAACTTTAGAGCATGCCTTTCCAATTCAGGTTTGGATCCAAATCCTCATTCCAGTACTTATTAGCTGCTTATAATTTTTTGTTTGCTTTTTTTTTTTTTTTAAAGAGGCAGGGTCTGCTCAGGCTTGGTGGCTCATGCCTGTAATCCTAGCAGTCTGGGAAGCAAGATCACTTGAGGTCAGGAGTTTGAGACCAGCCTGCCGAATATGGCAAAAGCTCATCTGTACTAAAAATACAAAAATTAGCCAGGTGTGGTGGCGCATGCCTGTAATCCCAGCATCCCAGCTATTCCGGAGGCCGAGGCAGGAGAATTGCTTGAACCTGGGAGGTGGAGGTTGCAGTGAGCCGAGTTTGTGCCACTGCAATCTAGCCTGGGCGACAGGCGACAGAAACAGACTCTATCGCCAAAAAAAAAAAAAAAAAAGAAAGAGAAAGGGCCTCTGTTGCCTGGGCTGAAGTGCAGTAGCACAGTCATGGCTCACAGTGGCCTTGAACTCCTGGACTCAAACAATCCTCCTGCGTCAGCCTCCTGAGTAGCTTGGACTACAGGCTTGTACCACCATGCCCAACTAATTAAAAAAAATTCTCTGTAGAGATGGGGTGTGCTGTGTTGCCCAGGGTGGTCTCAAACTCCTGGCCTCCAGTGATCCTCTTGCCTTGGCCTTCCAAAGTGTTGGGATTACAGGCGCGAGCCACTGCCCCCAGACCTTATTAGCTTCTTGATCCTGTTTCCCTATTTGTAAAATGGGCTTTCGTGAGAAGTAAACAGGACAAGGTTTGTGATGAGCTTAGGATAGTGCTTAGCCAGCCGGAGTAGAAGGTGTATTGATCCCCATTTTTTTTTTTTTTTTTTTTTTTTGAGACGGAGTCTCGCTCTGTCCCCCAGGCTGGAGTACAGTGGCCAGATCTCAGCTCACTGCAAGCTCCGCCTCCCGGGTTCACGCCATTCTCCTGCCTCAGCCTCCCGAGTAGCTGGGACTACAGGCGCTCGCCACCTCGCCCGGCTAGTTTTTTGTATTTTTTAGTAGAGACAGGATTTCACCGTGTTAGCCAGGATGGTCTCGATCTCCTGCCCTCGTGATCAGCCCACCTTGGCCTCCCAAAGTGCTGGAATTAGAGGCGTGAGCCACCGCGCCCAGCCTCGATCCCCATTTTCCAGATGAAACAAGTTCAGTGAGGTTAGGACATGGCCGACGGTCCCATAGCATGGATGCGAGGAGCCAGGTTGGGGCCTGTGTCCATTCATTAGATGGGTGGGAGGCTGAGGAATTCACAGGACACTAACCTGGCCCTCGGGACATTTGTGTATGGTGCCTAGGTGCGTGCAGGAGCTGCGCCAGGGGCTGCTGGTGTGGCAGCAGGAGGAGCCCTCTGAGTTTGACTTGGCCTACGCTGACTTCCTCTCCCTGGACATCAGCATGCTGCGGCTCTTCGAGACCTTCTTGGAGACGGCACCACAGCTCACGCTGGTGCTGGCCATCATGCTGCAGAGCGGCCGGGCTGAGTACTACCAGTGTGAGTGAAGGCCAGTGGCTGGCCCCCCTGTCGTGGCTTGGGGGGGTCTCTCTCAAATGTCGGAACTGTTTTTATCATTTTATAGAGGCTGCTTAGAAAACAGGAGAACAGGCTTTAGTCAGGCAGATCTGGCGTGAGACCTAAAGTCACTCTGTAGCTGTTTGAGTTTGGACAAATGCCGTGACCTCTCTGAGTATGTTCGTTCTCATTTGAAAAATGGACTTAAATCCTTCTGCCTCATAAGGTTGATGAAAGGATTGAGTGAGGTGATGCAAAGAAAGCCCATTTCCTGGTACACAAGTTCCTGGTACAGTCTCACTCTGTCATCGCCCATAGTGGAGTACAGCGGCCTGATCATGGTTCACTGCAGCCTCGACCTCCCAGGCTCAGGTGATCCTCCTGTCTCAGCCTCCTGAGTAGCTGGGACTACAGGTATATGTCACCATGCTGGCTAATTTTTCTTTCTTTCTTTTTTTTTTTTTTTTTTTTGTAGAGACGAGGTCCCACTTTGTTACCCAGGCTGGTCTTGAACTCCTGAGCTCAAGTAACCTGCTACCTCAGCCTCCTAAGGGCTGGGATTACAGGTGTTGGCCATTGTGCCTGGCCCAGAAGTCTTAATTGTAATTTTTATAATTTCGAAGATAATAAAGTGTGTAAGGTGCCTGATGCAGCGTAGGTAACTTTTTAGTTAAGAAACAATTTAATACGTTGGGAGGCCAAGGTGCACAGGTGGCTTGAGGCCAGAGTTGGAGACCATCCTGGGTAACATAGTGAGACCTCATCTCTTCAAAATTTTAAAAAAGAAACAAGAAACAATATATTGAATGCCTTCATCCAGTCAGGTTTTCATTGCGCATCTCTTCTGTGCCTGTTACTGTGCTGGGGACACAGCAGTGAACAAGATGAACCCAGCCCCTGCCCTGCCAGGGTAATAGACTAAAACAAGTAGCTAGGGTACAACGTGCTGAGTGACTGGAAAAGGGAGAGGCAGGTGGCGGAGGCTCACAGGGCCCCCTAAGCAAGGGTGAAGTTTATAGTGAGGAGCTTTGGGAGGGTTTTTGTCCATAAAAGGAAAGTGACTTGCCCATTTTCACAGACCCAGATAGTGGCCAAGCTGAATAGGGCCCCGACTCACATCCAATTCAGGGTCCAAGCCTTCCCCTTTGCCTTCCTCCACCCCTGCCATAAATGCCACAGTCTCTCAAGGAAGCAGTCCTCACTCTGCCGTCACTCGCTGTGTGACCCGGAGAGCCTTGCTGTGCAAGATGGAGGTTGGATTCGATCTCCAAGGGCCCTTTCGTCTTGCTAGTCTGAGTCTATATATTGATTGAAAAAACAATAATAGCGGTTGTCACAATCGAGGGCCAGCTATTAGCCGGGCCCTGTGGGAAGCACTTACAGTCATCATTGCTGAAGTTCACAGCAGCCCTGTAGGTCTGTGCTATATTGATCTCCATTTTTAGAGAGGTGCAGAAAGGTGAGTGACTTGCCCTGGGTCACTGGGCACTCACTGGGCACGTGTTTTTGTCTGTTGAGGGTTGGGGGTGTCTAGAACCAGGGCCAAGTGCAGACAGTCTGCACTGCGAGTGTGGCAGGGGGTAAGGGGGAAAGACAGATTTTCCCTACTTTTTATTTAGCAAACATCTCTTTCGCTGCTGTTATGTGCCAGGTACTGGGCTGCTGGGGGATCCCAAGTGAGCAGAGTGTTTTCTACCCTGGAGGAGCTCAGAGATAAGGAAATAGATAATTACTGTGTGATGAGACTCCAGACAGAGGTGGGTGGCATGTGACAGGGATACCTGACACAGCTGAGTGGGTGGCGTGGGGCCAGGGTGGGTGACTCCAGGGGCTCTTCAAGCTGGGGCCTGTGGGGTAATGGAGGAGTAGGCCGGGGAAGTGGGGCATGTGCTTCTGGCTACCTAACAGCCTGGGCAGAGCTTGTCAAGGTCACGGAAGGTGGCATGCTGGGCAAACTGGAAAAACATCAGCCCTGCTGAGACCTGGGCGAGGCTAATGGGCACAGATCTGTTTCCAGGCTAGGAGTGGGTTCTGGGCACCTAATAGATTCCCAGTAAACATCTGTCGAATGACTGCGGTGGACAGGAACAGGGGAGGAAGCAGTCGGGAGACGTGCTGGTGCCACTTCCATCCCTCCCTGGAGGCCCTTGTGCCTCTGCTCCAGGACTGGCAACCAGGAGGTGGGATAGGACCCTAGGACCCCTGTTGTAAACTTCTGGATCTTGGAAAATCAAGACTAGGGGTCAGTCTGATGGCCTCTGGTCTTGGAGGAGAGGGGAGGAAAGTGGGGAGACTTTCTGTCCACACAGCAGGGACATCTCTCCTGGCCCTGACGGCAGCTTTAGCCAGAGCCTGTGGCCACCCCATGAGATTTTCTACTCCCTTTTTGAGACTAAGAAAGAGGGAATTGAGGCTGTTGATTTTCAGACACAAGAAAGGCTTGTGTTCTTCCCAGAAAGAAAGGGTTATGGGGCCCTGGAAGATGCCCAGGGTGCAGCCAAGGCCCAGGGGTGCTGAGTGCTGGGTGGGCCAGAAGTCACACCCTCTCACCTTTGACAAATACCACCTGTGCAGCAAAGCACTGTGGTGAGGGGCAGGCTCTATATTAGGAGTCAGAGCTTTGCTTTTGGTTATGGGAACTCACTGGCTCTTCTCCAGCTGCAGATTTGCTTTCAGCAAATGAGGGATTCTGATACCTACTCCAGGGTTGCTGGGAGGGGCCCCACGGTACCTGCGACCCCTGGGGAATGCCAAGCAGGCTGGCCCCAGGACTCACGGTTCTGTCCTACTCTTTGCAGGGTTTGGCATCTGCACGTCCTTCCTGGGCATCTCGTGGGCACTGCTCGACTACCACCGGGCCTTGCGCACCTGCCTCCCCTCCAAGCCCCTCCTGGGCCTGGGTTCCTCCGTGATCTACTTCCTGTGGAACCTGCTGCTGCTGTGGCCCCGAGTCCTGGCTGTGGCCCTGTTCTCAGCCCTCTTCCCCAGCTATGTGGCCCTGCACTTCCTGGGCCTGTGGCTGGTACTGCTGCTCTGGGTCTGGCTTCAGGGCACAGACTTTATGCCGGACCCCAGCTCCGAGTGGCTGTACCGGGTGACGGTGGCCACCATCCTCTATTTCTCCTGGTTCAACGTGGCTGAGGGCCATACCCTAGGCCGGGCCACCATCCACTTCGCCTTCCTCCTGACTGACAGCATTCTCCTGGTGGTCACCTGGATGACTCATAGCTCCTGGCTGCCCAGCGGGATTCCCCTGCAGCTGTGGCTGCCTGTGGGCTGCGGCTGCTTCTTTCTGGGCCTTGCTCTGCGGCTTGTGTACTACCGCTGGCTGCACCCTAGCTGCTGCTGGAAGCCCGACCCTGACCAGGTAGACGGGGCCCGGAGTCTGCTTTCCCCAGAGGGGTATCAGCTGCCTCAGAACAGGCGCATGACACGGTTAGCACAGAACTTTTTCCCCAAGGCTAAGGATGAAGCTGCTTCGCCAGTGAAGGGAGAGGTGAATGGCGTCCTTTGAAGCAGGATCAGACCCAGCTGGCAGAGATGGAGAGTGACTCTGCTGGCAGAAGGCGGGTGAGGATAAGCTAATGATGCTGCTGTGGCCTCCATGCACTCAGCAATAATGGGACGCCTGTGCTGGGCCGGGCACCAGGGATGGTGCTGAGTGGGGCAGAGGCCTGCCTTAAAGGAGTTCACAGTGAACAAGATGAGAAAGGCTGGGCCCTGCAGGGTCAAGAGCCCCAATTATGTACAAGACACTTTGGGAGGAAAGAAGACTACCTTTTCTTTTCCCCCTGCCATTGGTATAGCTGGTGCCCCAAAACTTCCACCTCCCTGGCCACTTCTAAAATGACTGGTATAGGTGCTGCCCCACCCCTTAGCTCCCCTATCCTGGGCTAGAAGGCCACAGGGGCTGTCCTCTAGAATTCTTCCTCCCCTCCCCCACACCATTCATTCAATTCATGAAAGAAATCTTCGTGGAGAGCAGTTTATGTGCCAGGAACATCATTCTGTCCTTGCAACCTGGAACAAGACCAGCTACCACCCCAGCTTCATCCCCTACTTGCACCAACCAGTCCTGGGTTAGATCTCAAATGCCAGAAGCCAGGGATGCCCAACTCTCGGTGGCCCCAGTTAGAACCTCTGGGATCTCAGTGAAGCTGGCCTGGCCTCTGCTCCTGCTCTCAAGGGGCTGCTTTTCAACCGAGAGCCTTGTGAGCCTGGTCTGAGCCTTGTACAACCACTGAGTATTTTTTATTCCTTAGCCAGTGTACCTCCTACCTCAGAGTCTGTGTGAGAGGAAGAGAATATGTGTCCCTGTGGGTGTCCACAAGTGTCAGACGTGTTGTTTTTAACAGTATTACTAGGTTATGATTAAAGCCTCATGAAATCCTCCAACCTAGTCTGTGTCATCAAATGAAATCTCTTTTTTTTTTTTTTTTTTTGAGACAGAGTCTCGCTCTATCGCCCAGGCTGGAGTGCAGTGGCCGGATCTCAGCTCACTGCAAGCTCTGCCTCCCGGGTTCACGCCATTCTCCTGCCTCAGCCTCCCATGTAGCTGGAACTACAGGCGCCCGCCACCTCGCCCGGCTAATTTTTTGTATTTTTAGTAGAGACGGGGTTTCACCGTGTTAGCCAGGATGGTCTCAATCTCCTGACCTCGTGATCCGCCCATCTCGGTCTCCCAAAGTGCTGGGATTACAGGCTTGAGCCACCGCGCCCGGCCTCAAATGAAATCTCTTATGGAGTTCAGAGCCTGAACTGGAAGAGGTCAGGGGCATAAAATCTACCTCTCAAAATTAGGGTCCATGAACAGAGAGGTCTGGCTTAGGTGGGGCTTCTCAACCTCGTGTTTGAAGTTTCAGGAGCTGGTGAGCCAGCATGGGGTTGACAGCTCAGCTGGAGATAAGAATCCAGATCTGGGCTTAGTGCATCCCTTTTCACCACCAGCTCTGCTGCTGGGCCCAGCAGGAGTGGCCACAAACACATTTAGGGCCAGGAAGTGAATATAGGAGCCTGGTGAAGAAAGGTCTTGCTGGGACCTCTGAGATGTTAAGTAATGAGATGCCTTAGGGGATGCGAATGTGGTGGGTGATGGTGCTGGGGAAGTGGAACCTTTTGCTGTTCTAGGAGGTCTGTGGTTTGGAGAAACAAGGGACAGAAACATCTCTTGAGATAGAGAAGAAAAGGTTCCAGTCACTGCTGTGATGGGATCCAGGATAGTCTCAGCTCTGTTACTATTCTGGTGGAGACACAAAAACCAGGATAAGTAAAACATTTAGTATATCAGATAGTGTTAAGTGCTGAAAGAAAAAGGGAAAGGGATAGGGAGAGAGAGTAGGTGTTTGTGTGTTGGGGGTGGGAATTACAACTTTATATAGAATGGCTGGGGAAGGCCTTCCTGCAAAACGGGTAAGCTGGTTAGCAGTGACTTGGGGGTGGCCTATAAATGTCATGAGAAGGAGCAGAACCTGGAGTCACTGGTAGCTTGAACCACTGTGACGGAAGGAATGATACAAACAGAATTCCACAGGATGAAGAAGCACTTGTAACCACTCTGTTGGCCTGGAGCTAAGGATGACCCAGAGATGAAGGTGGGGGCAGGGAGAGGATCTGGGAAGACGATGCTAGTGACTTTTACATACAAGCAATGGTTAGAGGCAGAAAGGATCCTGCAGATCATCCTGTCTAGTGATTTTCAGACTTTTGAATATCATGTACCTATAAAATGGCCAACATGGTTGAAAATTTTAACAAAGAAAGGGCATTAAAGACTACCACCATTTGGCTGGGCATGGTGGCCCACACCTGTAATCCCAGTACTTTGGGAGGCCAAGGCGGGTGGATCACCTGAGGTTGGGAGATCGTGACCAGCCTGACCAACATGGAGAAACACCATCTCTACTAAAAATACAAAATTAGCCAGGCGTGGTGGCGCATGCCTGTAATCCCAGCTACTCGGGAGGCTGAGGCAGGAGAATCGCCTGAACCCGGGAGGCAGAGGTTGCGGTCAGCCAACATCGTGGCATTGGACTCCAGTCTGCTCAACAAAAGCAAAACTCCGTCTCAAAACAACAACAAAAAAAAACTACCACCATTTATTTTCATCATCTCATAAAAGGATGTACCAATCTTAGAACAAAGGACCATTCTTCTAATTGAATACATGTGAACACACACACACCCCTGAAATTGCAGGAAGAGATGGAGATGTTTATCTCCTCTGTGCTTGGAAATCAATACTTCTAGTATTTGTACTTATAACTGAGTAAGGATATAGCAGCTAACGGGTTTGCTAATGTGCACCTAACAACTAATGTGCACCTAATGAGGAAAACATTTAATTACTAGAATAGGCAACTTCCTCTTTTCTGGGGAATTTTTGGAGAAATACATCTTATAGTCTGACATTTATGGTACTTGGAAGCTAGAACCCAATTCTGTTTTCCTTCATTGACTAATAGGCAGAAAGGCTTCGTGACTGTTTTCCAGACCAGAGGGATGCAGCCAGACCCAAATCAGATAAATGAAATGAGAATAAGTAGTTGATGTGACATGAAATCAGGGCAAATCAAATGAGGTCTGATATCAGTTTGCTAGTTTTATCGCTTTTGTGGTTTAAGCGCAGTGCGGCAAGGTACTGATTTCTCTCCTTAATAATTAAATTTCAGCACATTGGCAGCGAGTGAAATCTTTTCTCACTCCAGTTCTAAACTTTAAAAGCAAAATATATTTTAGAAACAATACATGCTCCCAGGCAAATTACTGTAAAACATTTTCCCATGTATATTTATACCAAATGGTTTGTTTTTACTTTTTTGGTGAAATGACCCAGTTACTGAAAGGGTGACATCTTTCTAATGAACTCTTTAGAATTTTTATGAAGCCCTAATTAGGACCCCACATAGCTGGGCAACTATGCTGATCCTATTCAGAAAAGACACAGGAGCAAATTATAGAAAATAAAAACTTTATTTTTTCAAGTTTATAAGATAGTTCCCATTACATATAACATTATGGTCACGGATTCTACAGCCACAAATGCCCGCAGTCACATAAATATATCCAATCCGATCAATGCCTTTTCCTGCTAACAGAGGCATCTGAAGTCCAGAGGGAGAGTCGCATTTTGAGTAGAAGTCGTCCTTAATGGGAGGGCTCCTGTCAGTGCATTAGGAACTAGCCAAGGAGCCTTGCTTGCCAGAGCTGTCTGACTCAGGAGAGGAAGGGACAGATGGCCTGCTGACTGGGGCCGGGGCAGCACTACATTTTCTCTCTTGTGGTTTAAGATATTTTAGAATCTCGGAATTCAGACCCTATAGTGTGAATATCTGGGGAGTTCTAACTTCTGGATGAAAAAGGAAACCAATTTAGTGGTAAGAAATAGAAGCCTGCTTAAGAGGGACCCTAACTGCCTCCTTGAGGAGTAAGGAGTCAGAGGAAGACCCTAAGCTCACCACTTGTTAGCCTAGACCATTGCTCTACCCCATACTCCTCTCCCCCGTGGTTCAGTGACACTGACAATCATTCAAGATAGTAAACATCTAGAAGCTCCACATGCTGCAGCTAGAGTTTGTCAATCAGATTCTATGTGGAGCTTTAAAGCTGAGTTTGTGTAAACTGCGAACAAGCTGTGGCATCAGTCTCTTGGGACAACTCACTAGCTTTACGCTAGACAGGAACACCCCAAATCAAACAAAAGCCCAGATAGGCATCTAAATCTGGAGCAGGTGTCCATTCTTCTGGACACTACCAGCTGCCCCAGGGGCATTGGACAGGGTGATGCTAAGGCACAGTCAGTTTTACATTCGAAAGTCAAGCCACCTCCTCAATCCAAGACACACCTCACTCCAGACCTACTACTAGAGAGAGCCCTCACCGTGACATTACAGACCCATCTTGTGGAACCCACAGTGCCTGGCCGGGCGCAGTGGCTCATGCCTGTAATCCCAGCACTTTGGGAGGCCGAGGCGAGCAGATCACCTGAGGTCAGGAGTTTTGAGAACAGCCTGGTCAACATGGTGAAACCCCGTCTCTACTAAAAATACAAAAATTAGCTGGGTGTGGTGGTGGGTGCCTGTAATCTCAGCTACTCAGGAGGCTGAGGTAGGAGAATCGCTTGAACCTGGGAGGCAGAGGTTGCAGTGAGCCGAGAGATCATGCCACTGCACTCCAGCCTGGGTGACAGAGCGAGACTCCATCTCAAAAAAAAAAAAAAAAAAAAAAAAGAGAGAACCCACCATGCCCAGCTGGGGAAAGACTCATCATTTGGCTAATTTCATGAGGACTCTAATGAAGAGGGCCTTCCCCTTGATGAATGGACTCACAGTGTCCTTTGGCCCTCTACTTCCAACAGCTCTTAATCCTACCCACTTATTTTCCTTTCCAGATTTTTGTGTTGGGGTGGAGAAAAAGGCAGGGTAATTACAGACAGCACTGTGTTCCCTGGACAATTCATTTTGGCAAAAAGCCAAGAAGCTCCTGTTTTCTCTTCCATCTAAATGAGGGTGGCAACAACCAGGAATGAGCAGAGACTGCTCTGCTCAGCCTCCTTACCTCTGTTGGTCAAGTTCAAGTTACTTTTGGAAAGAGCTAAGCTAGGAAGTCAGAGCAAGAGGAAAAAAGCCATTGATAAAAGTGAGTCCAAGTTATATTCTAAAATAAAGAGCTCCCATAAGGGTGGAGAGGGAAGTATCTGTGTGTGCTTGTGTGCATGGTGGGGGTACCACTCCGCAGCCTCACAAACCTGAAGCGCAGCACAACAGCTGTGGCCTTTGTCCAGGACAAAAACTCAACAGCTATACTGCATTAGGGGGAGGGTTTGAGGCTTCAGAGTAGAGCTTCCTAAGATCAACCATCAAACAAGGCAGAGCAGCATCTAAGGAACTATGCTGAATACAGACCAAGGGAAGGCCTACCTCACACTACATCTCCCTCCTCCCAACCCCACAGGAAACAAGGCCAAAGAGGCAGCTAAGTAAAGGAGCACTGACTTCAGCTACTCAGCAAAAACTTACTCCTTTAAATCGTGAGTCATGAGCACTTTTCAATGAGTTCTGAAGGAATGTGTATACCAGCCTCTCTGTTGCTATCTAGGTGGCCTGGCATTGAAAGGAGTCTTGCCTCTTTGTGCTGCAACATCTTTGGAAATGGGTATGCAGAGTCTCTGGCGACAAGCAATTATAGCTGGGGTTGGTCAACGATGCCTCCTTCTGCGGACCAATCCTGCATCTCAATCTGAGATGCTTGTATCATCTGTCTCTTTGCAGCCTGGGAAAGGCTGAACTTCCTCAGCTCTAGGGAATTTTATCCTGCCTGAGCAGATGCCCAAATTGCTCTTGGAGGGATGGGGCATCCAACAATCATGGCTGGGCTGGAAGGCTGTGACTAGTGCCTGG